TGTTTCGTCCAAAATTAAATGGAATTACATTTAACATGAGTCAGATTGTTATTTCTAGATGGATTTACATTTAACATGAGTCAGATTGTTATTTCTGGATGGAATTACATTTAACATGAGTCAGATTGTGATGTATAGATGAATTTACATTTAACATGAGCCAGGTTGTTATTTATAGATGGAATTACACTTAGCATGAGTCAAATTGTTATTTCTGGATGAAATTACATTTAACATGAGTCAGATTGAGATGTACACATGGATTTACATTTAACATGAGCCAGATTGTTATTTATAGATGGATTTACATTTAACATAAGTCAGATTGTTATTTCTGGATGGAATTACATTTAATGTGTCAGATTGTGATGTATAGATGGATTTACATTTAACATGAGCCAGATTGTTATTTATAGATGGAATTACATTTAACATGAGTCAAATTGTTATTTATAACATGAGCCAGATTGTTATTTATAGATGGAATTACATTTAACACGAGTCAAATTGTTATTTATAGATGGAATTACATTTAACATGAGTCAAATTGTTATTTCTAGATGGAATTACATTTAACATGAGCCAGGTTGTTATTTATAGATGGAATTACATTTGACATGAGTCAAATTGTGATGTATAGATGGATTTACATTTAACATGAGCCAGATTGTTATTTATAGATGGAATTACATTTAACATGAGCCAGATTGTTATTTATAGATGGAATTACATTTAACATGAGTCAAATTGTTATTTCTAGATGGAATTACATTTAACATGAGCCAGGTTGTTATTTATAGATGGAATTACATTTAACATGAGTCAAATTGTTATTTCTGGATGGAATTACATTTAACATGAGCCAGGTTGTTATTTATAGATGTAATTACATTTAACATGAGCCAGATTTTTATTTATAGATGGAATTACATTTAACATGAGTCAAATTGTTATTTCTGGATGTAATTACATTTAACATGAGTCAGATTGTTATTTGTTGATGGAGTTACATTTAATATGAGCCAGATTGTTATTTATAGATGGAATGACATTTAACATGAGTCAGATTGTTATTTGCTGATGGAGTTACATTTAACATGAGCCAGATGGAGTTACATTTTAAATGAACCAGCTTATTACTTATACATGGAGTCAGATTTAACGTGAGCCAGATTATTATTTGAAAAAAAACCCTGGATTTGTATTTTTCAGCGTCAGATATAAAGAGATTTATACACACGAGCCTTATGATAATTATATTCTATATTTAGAGGTCCAGTCAATAATGTGACATTCATTAGGTCCAGTCAATAATGTGACATTCATTACGTCCAGTCAATAATGTGACATTCATTACATCCAGTCAATAATGTGACATTCATTACAAGAAGTATTTATTTGATATGTTTAAAGCAACTGTGTAGGGTCTTTTATAATTATTAAAGGTAACACGGTAAGGTTATTATGGGATTCACTTCTATACCTTAGAAGCTTCTAATGTTTCATACGATCTTCTGAATACTTCATTAGATGTTTCTAATCGCTTTTCTCTTTTTTTTTAATAAATGGTCAATAAAGTTACTTTTCCCAGAAAGTAACATAATATACCATTTTTACCCCAAATCCAATTTGTCACTACTTATAACCGTAACCATATTGGCGTACCAAACATCGTGAAAGGCGGAGTTTCAGGAGTTTTAAGCAGTCAGTTATTGATTGGTTAATTAAGTGAAAATTGTTTAAAAATAAATCTCGTTTTAAGAACTAATTGTATGAAGACACATTGCAAGGAGTTTCTTGATGCACATTATTTCTGAATAGTGAATATGATACAAAAGGAATTTATGTGGAAAAAAAGAAAACGTTCCTTACAAGCGGAACTGTTGTCTCCTTTAAGAACATTTATTACAAAATTTAATTGTCATATCCTTTCTAAGTTTACTTCCGCTCGACGATTACTAATATTTAAATTAAAGAAGCATAACCGGATGAATGATCATTAACTAGATATTTTAATAATGTGAAATTGTCGTATTCTTTCTAAGTTTACTTCCGCTCGACGATTACTAATATTTAAATTAAAGAAGCATAACCGGATGAATGATCATTAACTAGATATTTTAATAATGTGAAATTGTCGTAGTCTTTCTAAGTTTGCTTCCGCTCGGTGACTGATAATAGTTAAATTAAAGTAGGTGAAATCGTATAATGAGTAATCTAATCCTTTTTTTTATTAATAATGAAAAGGACCGTTGTTACAGTGTTGGCCGATGTAGATTTACAAATAATAATGTGGTTCACGTTAAATGTAACTCCATTTACAAATAATAATGTGGTTCACGTTAAATGTAACTCCATTTACAAATAATAATGTGGTTCACGTTAAATGTAACTCCATTTACAAATAATAATGTGGTTCACATTAAATGTAACTCGATTCCTTTAGCTTCACAATGACTGAAGGCTACTTCTTTGAAGTATGAATTCCTTTAGCTCCACAATGACTGAAGGCTCCTTCTTTGAAGTATGAAATCCTTTAGCTCCACAATGACTGAAGGCTCCTTCTTTGAAGTATGAAATCCTTTAGCTCCACAATGACTGAAGGCTACTTCTTTGAAGTATGAAATCCTTTAGCACCACAATGACTGAAGGCTCCTTCTTTGAAGTATGAAATCCTTTAGCTTCACAATGACTGAAGGCTACTTCTTTGAAGCATGATGTTCTTCAGCTCCACAATGTTTAACACACTTGTTCTGTGAATATCTCTCTTTGGAAAATATTGTTAAATGTAACTCCATTTACAAATAATAATGTGGTTCACGTTAAATGTAACTCCCTTCATACTTCAAAGACGGAACCTTCAGTCAATGTTGAGCTAAAAGACATCACACTTCAAAGAAAGAACCTTCAATCATTGTGAAGCTGAAAGATATCACACTTCAAAGAAGGAACCTTCAGTCATTGTGGAGCTAAAAGACACCATACTTCAAAGAAGGAGCCTTCAGTCTTTTTCCATGGAAGCGGAGAAACTCGCACAACAGAGCATTTAGTAGTAAATTTGAAACCACCTCCAAATCCTTACGAGAAAAAGCCTTCATCTACAAAGTAACGACAGTGGTTACCAAAGAGAAGCTTCCTATTCAAATATCCGTTGACATGTAGTTAATTGTATCTCCTGCTACTGTTAACAAGAAAATAAATGAATATTTGATGTTGAGAAAAGGTTCACAAGCCTCAAACTCAAAAATTATCTTCATAAGAAATATTGGCCAAAGAAAGTGAAATCACAATTATTTCAATTGTCCTCCTCATCTACAGTAGAGGGTATTTGAAAAGCTGGTTAAGACGTGAGATCTGAGGTTGCCATCGTCAAAAGTCGTAGAACTTCTTACAATAGTGTGCATAATCATGGCCATCAAACTGAGCACTATCAACGATAGAACAAACAGTTCACCAACCTAAAGTGATCTTAAATGAGTCTATCTTGGGTGTGTTTTTCTTTCAGGCTTGCTTGAGTTATCTTTGATTTCAAAGTCTCATTCTGTCTTCTGAAGCACTCAGCCTAATTCTTATATTTGAGGCGTTGAGTCTTGGATCAAGCCATTAAATGTGAAAGTTCGTTCACGTCAGTACAACAGTCGAGCAGTCCAAGCTGCTTCGCATCAAAACTCAGTTAACTTCTGTTAACATAGTCTAGCTTTAACTTACGTCACAACTTGACATTAATTCATTCCTACTCAACAAACGCCATCTCTCTCTCTCTTATCGTCTGCTTGTGAAACAACAAAATAAGGATATTTGTGGTTCATTTATCACACACTTTGTGCTCTCTGACTTGTATCATTTCATCAGGTTACATACCTTGGAGTATCCACTCTTACTTTACTGTATTTGTTGTGTGATAATCTAACTACCCGTTGGTTTGATAGTCTAATTATCCGACGGTTTTATACTCTAACTACCCGACGGTTTGATAATCTAACTACCCGTTATTGGTGAAATAAGCTGTTCTTCTGTTCCATATTTTTCATCGCCATATCCAACCACCAACTAGGAGAATAAGTCATTATGCCCTCCACTGGCTTAGCGGTAAGTTTGAAGGCTAAAAACCACGTTTCAATACCCGTGGTGGCCACAGCACACATAGCCCATAATGTAGCATTGTGCTGAAAATCTAACAAAATAATATATTACAGTCACCTGCTTAAAATATAAATTTGTTTTTGTGTAAATATCAAAACAATAATTCAAAAATAAACAACAAATTTAATGTAACAATGCTTATCTATAAAACCACAATACCGAACTAAGTTTTAAATTTTCTTGGAGAAAGATGCATGTATATATCATACACGTATGATAGAAAGAAAAAACAATAACAAGATAGAAAGATTTGAGATGAGATTTTGAATTTGATCAGCAGATGAAAATACGGGGATTAAATTCTTCAAAATTTCTGTTTTGATGTAAAAAGAAAATTTATAACATACAATTTGCAAAAAGTATATGCCAAAACTGGTACTACTGATTCTCTCCAATAGATCAATACTATTACTTGTTCTGATGGATCTCAAGATATGAAACACGATGTTTTTACCTTGTTCTGCTTTGAGCTAATCTCTCGCTAAGCTCTAAACAGCCGAAAGTGGCTGCTCAACAAGTCTATTATCAAATATATTAAAGTGGCTCCATCAGAGATCTTACTCTAACGCCATAATATTCTTTGCCCTGAATTGTGAGTAAGGCATCTACAGATAACATCAAAGTTTTTAGTGAGACTTTTAAGCTAGTTTTTTTTCAAGGTAAACTACACATGTAACGAAATAGCTTTACTTTTTAATGCGAAAGTTACTTTTAATAAACTTCTTAAATGATTTATTTTTAAAAAAAATTATATATTTTGTCATTAATCCGTTATTCAGAACATTTCTTTTCCTGACTTTTTACACCTAGCGGCGCGTTAATTGTTATTTTTATAATTACTTTTGTCTTCTTCGTAGAATATTACCCGGAGTTGGAGAGTCCTATGAAATGCCTACCATTAAAGCTTTGAAGGGCATTCCACGTCCTGACCTTATAGGGTAAGTAATTGTCCATGTGTATTTACTTGACCTTGAGCAGTAAGAAATAATCAGTTTATAGATACCTGTTGTTGTTTTTTTATGTTGAGCAACAAGTCCTTCTGTATTTCTGTGACCTAACAGGGAGAGAAACCTTTTGGGATTATCTACATAGTTGTTTTTGTAGAGTGATTAAACCGTCCATGCGTTTTTAGTGAGTATAGGTCAGAATATATCTTATCTGGTCATTAAGGTTAAGTAACATTCCACTTAAAGCCTACATACTCTTGTACAGAGAGTTTGGTACATTATATTAGTGTTTTCAATATACAAATAAGCATGTCAGGCGATAAACACAGCTGATATTTAATCGCGATGAAACGGAATGTATCAGAACTATATTTTGAAATCGTTTGGCGTTACGTAGGCAGTTTGATGTCATCGAAAATTGAGTGCGTTTGGGTAGGGTATATAACAGCCCTTTCTTACGCAAAATATTCATACATTTAAATCATAAAGATGTTTTTAGATCCGGAATGTAGAATTTCCAAGACAGAAGTATCTACTGTACTTAATGGCAAGCGAATGTGGATCAATTTGGAGCACCAGGACTATTTTGAAAGGGAATTCTAACAAGCGTATTCCAGCCCTGTTAAGAAAAGTGCGGCGTTTTGTAATATGTGAGAATTTACGAAAACAAAAGGCAGTAAAAAAAAGCCGTTCACGTGCCCGAAACAATAATAAGTAAAATCATCAAGAGGGCCGAGTGAGGCCCGGTGGTTATAGTACTGCACTGTAGAGCTGATATTCTGTGGTTCGAGTCGCGTTACCACCGAAAATTCGCTTTCTGTACTTTGGGGCTGTGGATGCGTTATAAGAGTGATGTTCAAATCCCACTATTCTGTCAGACAACACTAGCCCAAGAGTTGGCGGTAGATAGGGCTGACTGGCTGCACTTTTATTAATCTATCACTTCACAAAAAAAAAAGGGGGCGGCTTTTGCAATATCCCTTTAACATTTTTGCTCAGAACCCAAAACACATACAAACATAATCAAGAAGGATATCCATCTGGAAAAGCAACACAAGTCACACGTACACAAGCCGTTTCCACAACATACTTGTTAAACTGTCGCATAGCAAAGTAGCTGGAGAATGAAACAGGATTTGAGTTGTCGAATGCAGAGATTATGATTATATGTGCAATCGGACTGCCGAAATGGGTGCTAGGAGTGGAAATACGAGAAGAGTGGTGTACTTTGTGCATGTCAGATCCACGATAGAATCTTTTGGAGTTGAAATACGCTACAGGGCTATTGTCAAGAGCACGGTTGTCAGAAAGAATTTGACCGGACGTGGCGACATGGACTGTATTGTCGTGGTGAGGCTCCAAAATCGTTTTAATGTACATTAATAAACCTCTCTAGAATATGTAAAAAATAAAGAGAAGGAAAAGTACTGATCAAATGCAAAGAACAAGTAGTAAAAAAAATTTAAAGCAAAAAAAAAAAGCAACAATATGTCAGATGTAAAAAAAATAATAAAAGTTTTTATAATGCATATCTGTTTTATGAAAGAGTACAAGACGAATGAACTTACAATTTTAGAGATAATACAAGACCGACTCAAAATGGATTTGGATGTAAACATATAAGTCGTAGAGAAATCTCGGTGGCACAGGTATCTCAAAACATATGTGTAACACACTTGGGATAAATGGCTACAGGTGGCGTTGCACGGTGACCTTCAACCCGTCATTAGAAATTGATATTAAAAACTTGAGGTTTGATATCAGAGCTCCTTCATTCATTGTTCGTCTAACAGAGGGCGTATTGAATATCTAATGTGACTTGTGTTTACTACATTTTTAAGTCACCGTACAGCACCATCTATGATTACTTTTTTCATAAATGTATTCCGTATATCTTTTTGTAAACTTGCCGCAGTTGTTAAGGCTGTAGGCCGTATGGTTCTACCAATGACATCCAAACTTATTTGATGTCAGCCCTGTATAGCTGTACATACCCCGGTGAGAGAGCTGTAAGTCTACGGAATTACATAGCTAAAACCAAGATAATCCGACGTGGCTTGGCATCAAAACATAGCTGTATAGCAACGAATGAGATAAGAAAAACAATGTATCACAAGAATATAAAAGAATTTGCACAAAGTACTTTAAATATTTATAGATTGGATATTACATGTAAAGTTACCCGCCGCCGTCCCTAATTCTGAAATGCCGACCACAAGAAAGGCAACTGGTAGGCAGCACCTGCCGCCGATTCTTGGGCTGGTTTTTAACAACAAAATTGACTGTCTTTACAACATCCCCCCCGACTGAAATGGGAAATATGCTTGGCGCTGGGTTTCGAACCTCCACCCTTTAGATTGGGAGTCAAGCGCCCTAATCTCTATGCTATGGTGCCAGGTCCAGACTATTAAAGAGTGAATTGGATGTTTAAAGGATTTACGGACAGTTAAGGATAAAAATGGATGTTTTAACAGTATATGGATAAATTATTGAACAATTAAATAGGTGTTTTAACAGTATATGGATAAATTATTGAACAATTAAATAGGTGTTTTAACAGTATACATAGATAAATTATTGAACAATTAAATAGGAGTTTAG